ACACAAGTTCTGCACTGTCATCCTCCAGTCTCACCAGATGTCCAAACCAGTGGGGCCCACCTGATCTCAGACTGCGAACCTCCAAAACCATTAGTCAGAATAAACATCTTTCCTTATGTAGCCAGTGTCAGGTATTTAGTTACATTAATAAAAGGCTGATTAACATAACTTACAAGAGAAGCTAGGACAAGGTTTTCTTTGTTTTTTGTTTGTTTGTTTGTTTGTTTGTTTGTTTTTGTCAAGGTAGAAGAGAAGCATTATGCTTGAGGCAAAAAAGTCTGAATCAGTGATTGTTTAAGGACACCTATAAAAAGGAAAGTAATAAAAAGAGGCAACATTTTGAGAAGACAAACAGGGATAAATTTAATGTAAATGTGTATGCTTCTAGTATATTTCTTTTATAAAAAACTATGGTGGCTGGGACTGGCGCTATGGCGCAGCAGGTTAACACCCTGGCCTGAAGGGCCGGCATCTCATATGGGCGCCAGTTCTCGATCTGGCTGCTCCTCTTCTGATCCAGCTCTCTGCTATGACCTGGGATGTCAGTAGAAGATGGCCCAAGTCCTTGGGCCTCTGCATCCACGTGGGAGACCTGGACAAAGCTCCTGGCTCCTGGCTTCAGATCAGCACAGCTCCGGCCATGGCAGCTATCTGGGGAGTGAACCAGCAGATGGAAGAGCTCTCTCTCTGTCTCGACCTCTCTCTGTAGCTCTTTCAAATAAATAAAATAAATCTTAAAAAAAAGAAACTATGGTGGCTTAATGCTTGTAAAATGATGAAATAATTAACCTATAAGATTCCAATTACTTATTCAAGAATTAATCTTGCCCTCCAGAATTTTAAAAGGACCGATCATTCACACAGTCCTTATTCAACACCATGTCCAACAGATGATGCCTTCAAGCATGTCGAAAAGAAAAGGCAGGGCTGAGTGTTTGGGAAGTGTTTATGATGCTGCTTGGAACACCTGTATGCCATATGGGAGAGTCTGGTTTGTGTCTGGACTCCTCTTCTGGTCCTGCTTCCTGCTACTGACCGAGAGGCAGCAGATGATGATTCAAGTGGTGGATCTTTGCCACCCTCATGAGAGACCAAGAATGAGTTCCAGACTCCTGATTTTGGCCTGATCTGTTGTGGGCATTTGGGGAATGAACCAGTGGATGAAAGATATTCAGCCCTCCCTTCTCTTCCTCTCAAATAAAAAACTAAACATTTGGGTTCCCCTTGGTAGTCACCAGTTACAACACTGTGTTCCTTAACAATGAAGATACACTCTGAGAAGCATATATTTTTAGGCAATTTCTTGGCTTACAAACATCAGAGTGTATTTACACAAACTGTGGTCACTACAATGTCATTAGGCAATGTTTATCTCCTAATCTTAGGAGACTACTTGTGTTTATAACTCTCTATTATTGACTGAAATGTCATTATGCAGTGCAGGATTGCATTCCTGGGTCATTTCAAATGTATACAGACAAATACCAACATGGTCAATAAGACAAGCAAAAAATTAAGGCTTTGTTTCTCCCAGAGGCAGAATGCAAAATGAATTGGTTGGGATATCTGCTGGCTGGAAGAGATCCATGGTTTGAGATCAGCACTGTTTTTTGGCAGCACAATGAAAATTTTTGCTGTTTCTCTTATCTTGAAAATGTTTACAGAAACATAGTCTACAGGTGAGTTGGGTCTGTTCTCAGTGTTATCTCAACACCACCAAAGTCAAATGAAACTCCGCCTCAGAGACAAAGAAGGGAACAATAATGACTATGGTCTAAAGACTACAACTTCATGAATAGAAACATTAATCTAATTCTGGTTAATAAGCAAAGGATGGTTATCATTTACTGGCTGTTCTGCATGAGAAAATGAAAACTGCTAGATGTATTCTGAGGTTTATTAGCAAAGAAGATCTCATAGGTTTTTTTTTTCCCCCCCTTGGCAGTGCTGTGTATTTGGTGATAAATATTGAGCCGCGGCTCAATAGGCTAATCCTCCACCTTGCGGTGCCGGCACACTGGGTTCTAGTCCTGGTCGGGGTGCCGGATTCTGTCTCAGTTTCCCCTCTTCCAGGCCAGCTCTCTGCTGTGGCCCGGGAGTGCAGTGGAGGATGGCCCAAGTGCTTGGGCCCTGCACCCCATGGGAGACCAGGGTAAGTACCTGGCTCCTGCCTTCGGATCAGCGCGATGCGCAGGCCACAGCGCGCCGGCCGCGGCGGCCATTGGAGAGTGAACCAACGGCAAAGGAAGACCTTTCTCTCTGTCTCTCTCTCTCAAAAAAAAGAAATACAATGTGTGGTAGAGATGCCACTGATTGGTGGGAATAAAATAGCTTTTAGAGTAAATAAGAAGTAAAGGAAAAGAAGTGCTTGTTTGTTCTGAACCATCTGATACAGACCAAATGTAGTAGCAACAACAACTTCATCAATTCTAGGATTTTGTTTTACAGAAGACAAATGATCAATTACTGACCATTTTAAGTCATCAAATTTAGACTTCTCAGGAAGTTTTGAGAAAGTCATAATAAGTTATAAAGAACAATGCTTACACATATAGACTAGTTTCAGGTAGATATTGGACCCAAAGCTAAATTCAACAAGTATTCAACAGCCACACAGAAGGAGTCTCTCATTCCAAACTAGTTAATTGTTGAATTAATATATTTTTAAAAAGCAGAGTAAAATTATTTGTAAGTGATATTAAATTTACCAAGAGATAAAATATTGTGTACACATTAGTTATGTTATTAATTACTACTAATTTTATACTAACAATTGAAGTCATTCTCTTTGATTTAATCCTCTGTCACCTAGTGTTCCTGTTTTGGTGGCATAATATAAAAGAAGTCAAAGAAAAGGAAAAGGAGGCGGCAAAAATGGGGAAAGGAGAAAAAAAATACCGATGTTGATATTGCACATAAATGACTTCAGGATGCTAGAAATAAATATCAGCAAGGAAAGAAAATAAAAATACAAAAATATTGTTAGGTTGAACATCAAGAAGATATTTCTAGGGTTTGTTAAAAAAATAAACAGCTCTAAAAATTAAGTAGAACACAGGAAACTTTTAAAATCTGAGATAAATTCATACATGGTTTAAACAGTAAGACTGACATCACACAAAACCAGATTAGAGGGTTTAAACTTTCTAGTTCATTGGTAAAGCAAAACATCCAAAGTAAATCATGCAGCAAATTCCTAGTGGCCCCTCTCCTCAAGGTAGAAATACTGGGCAAAGGCAAAAATAATAGAGGCTTTCATGCAGGGGCCTTCCAGGAATAGGGCGGATGGAGGGGGTTTTCTGAGAAATATGACAAATGCAGCTAGGTCAACTAAAGCAATGCTTTCAGGTCAACTACAGCGATACAGGTGCATACAAATGTGACTTTGTGTTAACAGTTGTGTGGGCAATGGTACAGTACCAAAATATCCAGTCGAAGGTTGCATAGCTAATTATATACTAGGGAACTTAATGTCGTTCTGTGCTACAGTATATAAGACAATCCCCTGCTTTGTTCAGGGCCCAGAATTTGGAGACAGAACCCTCCCTGTGTTAGCCTGCAGAAGAATAAAGCTGTTTTTCCTGCTAAGAGCTTTAATGTGTCCTGCCGCTCTGACTGAATTTCCCACTACAATCATAGATAAATTAATACATAGTCATAAATATCACCAATAGGTCAGAAGGAATTCTATAATTTTATAAAAACAGTAGAATGATTATATGTTACAAAAAGAAAACTACATAAAAGTTAAAAAACATAGTAACAATAACATTGCTTCTTTTCTTTGAATATTATGGGACAAGGAATTATATTTGGTCAATAACTGAGGAGGTAGTATTTCTGTAAATAGAAAATCCTGATATCATAAGATTGCTACATTAATATCTAATCATTAGAAAGTACTGATAATCTATGTATAACACTAAGAAGATGATACATCAGATAAAGTAAATTATTATGATTTGCCACCTTGCTTTTTATGTGTTTTCTTTTTTCCAAAATACCTTTTGCTTCTTGACCAATTTTGCAGTTCCTAGTTACGAATGTGGGAATTCAAAAAGCCTTCCCATTTTCAAGAATATTTGGGGATGTATATTTTCATTATTTTTTAAGTTAAATGTAGTATCCAGTTTGTTTTTAGAAAAAGTCTTCTGTGTGTTGTATAATACATACAGAATAAGGCTAACCAACAGAAATAAAATATGAGCTATCTGTGTAAATTTTAGTAGCCACATACAAAAAAAAGACATAAGAGATGGAATAAATGTGATCTTTTTGTTTTTTAAAAATTTGTTTAAGGATAGATATTTGGCACAAAGTTTCACTAGTAGCTTGGGATAGCTGAACCCCATATTGAAGTGCCTGGTTTGAAGAATTAGCTCCATTTCCACCTTCCTGCTAGTGTATGCCCTGTGAGGCAGCAGATAATGGCTCAACTAGTCCCTGCCATCCACCTGTGAGACCTAGATTAAGTTCTTAGCTCCTGGTTTGGGCCTGGCAGCCCCAGCCCAACTATTTGTTGCAGGCATCTGGGGAGTGAACCAGTGGATGCCAAATCCTCCCTGTCTCTCTCTCTCTCTCTCTCTCTCTCTCTCTCTCTCTCTTTCTCTGCCTTTCAATCAAATATTTTACATAAACAGAAAAGGTCCCACCCCCTGCTTTATTCCCCGAATGCCCACAATATTAGGAGTGGACCAGGCCAAAGCCAGGAGTCTACACATCAACTGAGCCCATGTGGGTGGTAGAGACCCAACTACTAGAGCCATCACCTGCTGCCTTGCAGGATGAACATTAGAAAGAAGACAGCACCAGGAATAGAGCCTGGAGTTGAACCTAGGTATTTCAATACAGATGTTACTTATCCAATATAGGACACGAGTATCCCAATCCTATTGAGCATCCATCACTCCCACAAGGAAATAAGCAACACATTCTGACATTCACCCACACAGTTAAGAGTGTTCTAGCCTACTTTGCCTGGTTATTGCTATTAGATTTACCTGGTGTGTGATCAGAGTCTGGGTTCAATGCTTCGGTGTGAATTCTGCTGCCAATGGCCCAGTCCAAGTCATCCTCAGAGTCCTGAGTAAGACTACAGGCAGTGGTCCAATTTTCTGAAGTTGTTTCAAAATTACAGCTTCCTGTTGTACTTGTGTACTGTCCTAGGGAAGCAAAAACATTAATTAAAGTTTCTACAAATGTCTTTTGAGATTGATCTTACACTACTAATTTAAAAATCAATATTTGCCTATTCTAATTTTTGATAAAAAATTTATACATCTGAAACATTTACACTCATTGATGATATCAGTTAGAGAATGTAACCTTTCTTTTGTCAAACAATCTAGAAGCAGTACACGGATATTGTCATTTATCCTCTAGCTTTATGGAATGAGTAATAATATTTTTATAGATGAATGACAAAACTGTGTCCTCATATGAACATCAAACATAACCTTCTGATGATAATACAGATAACTCAGGTCAAGAAAACAGCTTCAGTTGTCAAATACTTAATTCAGTGCTTTCATCCACTCAGTGTTTGAATGTGTAGCTCATTACGACATTTATTAATAAATGCGTCTTTGGGAGAAGCAGTAAACTGTGCAGGAACAAACCAATTATTAGAGTACAACATGTCAAGCTAGGTATTGAGTAATGAAAGAAATTCTCTTCTGAGAGTATTGACCACTTAATAAATAAAATTAAATAGTTCATAATAAGAAAAATTAGTTGGTAACAACCGAGTGTCTACTCTTATTCAACTGTGAAAAGCACCATGATACCTGATATCAAGGCCTTCATTTTTCTTTTTTTGTGTGTTGAGCAGTAATTATTTTTTAGCATTCACCACAAAAACTATGTTACACAGAATTGATTACTGGGTGACTTAGTAGAAGTCAACTGTGATTGTCATTCACTTTCCCCTTATTTCTAGAAATATGAACTTTGTGATATTCTTAGATCTTCTCATTCATAGCTTTTTCTTAACATGAAACTACTATTGAACATATAGAGATTCAATCATAGAAACAATTTATGTTTTTAAAATGGATGCAAATAATTTATAGCCAACAGAGCTTGGACATTTTTATAATTTCATATATCCCTGACAGCATTTTCATGAAGTATCAGTGTTTTAGTTCTGAAGTATTTTTGCATCTTGTCCCCAAAAGTAAGAATCACTTTTTTTTCTTTCACTCCACATGACTATACAATCCACTGATTCTTTTTTTTTTTTTTTTTTTACAGGCAGAGTTAGACAGTGAGAGAGAGAAACAGAGAGAAAGGTCTAAAGGTCTTCCTTCTGTTGGTTCACCCCCCAAATGGCTGCTACGGTTGGCATGCTGCACCAATCTGAAGCCAGGAGCCAGGTGCTTCCTCCTGGTCTCCAACGCAGGTGCAGGGCCCAAGCACTTGGGCATTTTTCACTGCCTTCCCGGGCCACAGCAGAGAGCTGGACTGGAAGAGGAGCAACCGGGACAGAACGGGACTAGAACCCGGGGTGCCAGCGTCGCAGGCAGAGGATTAGCCTAGTGAGCCACGGCGCTGGCCACAATCCACTGATTCTTACAAAGAGAAAGTTAGACTGTGACCAAAGACAAGGGAGAGAAAAGACCCCTGAGGAGGGCAGATGTCCTAATCTCCATGTACTGTAATTCCGGTTCCAGTTCCCCATAGGTATTGGCATGTCAGGGCAGTCATCCAAATCTCTGTTCCCTATAGGTGTTTACATGTCTGAAAGTATCCTAATCTTTGTTCTCTGTACCCTACCCCCTACTCGAGTTCCCCATAAGCGTGGTTTCAAGTTCCTCATGGGTGATCCTGAGCCCACCAATGCTATAACTGTTAGTGCATGAGGCTGATGAACCTATAAATGATCTAAGAAACCTGGACTGGATGCCCAGTCTTGGGAAATGATTCCACTGGGCCCATGGATGTTAATAAACTGCTTCTACTGATCCTCCACCAAGTCTCTGGTGCCTGTTTGAACTAAGAAAATTTCTCCAATCCAGCTTTCTGTTAACACTTATATGCTTACTTATAGTCTTTGCATTTCTCTTTTATGCTTGTCATTCCAGTTATATATAAGAGAAGCTTATATTATACTAAATGATGTAGACAAAAATAAGAAATTCAGTTCTCCATGTCTTTGGCCAGTACATCTTTAAACATCCAGATGTGTTCTTTAGAATGATGTCATATATGAGGAGTCTTCAAAAAGTTCAACAAAAGTGTATATTATTAAAAAAAACTGCATGAGTTTCAAAATGTTTTTGCACAAAAATATGTATCTTATTTGTTTTTAGGATGAAATTTGCCTCATTTTCAAAACTGCCTCTGTTCCAAGTTTTTAGAAAATTTTCTCTTAAATTTGAACAGATATTTTTGAACAGTTATGTTTAGCTCTACTTCTCTCTTTTTGAATGCTTTCTTGCATAGTTGGTCACTTTTTTATCATCTATTCCTTCTCTCTCTTGTTCCAGACAGGACTGAAATTTCATCTGAATATTCACTCCTTTCGCTCAGACAGGAACATGCTTTAAAAAATGAAAAGCCACCTCCTGGACTCTAAAGACATCCGATGATTCATCTAATTAATGCATTTTCCCATTTCCATTCCATCTAGCAAACCATACTTATCCTTGAACAATCAATCCATGCCATATCTCTCCCTTTACAGGTCATACCAATTCTTAGTATGGGTGTAGGATGGGATGGGGTGAGGTGGATTGGGGGAGGGGCTTAACAGCAATTATATAGTTGTTACCATTCATTTGAGAATCCATTACTTTTTAGTTTTGTATTGGTATCTCAAGTGTTAACACTGAGTTACTGTAAACATTTCCATGTGACAAGATATTACTAAACCTCATTATATATACCATAAACATGGTGGTTCAATATAGTCCTAGTATTTCCTGATATTTACAAGTTAGCAGTTACTACAACATTTTTTTATGTTTTAAATTTTATTTGAGAAGGAGACAGAAAAGAACTCCTATCTACTGGTCCAGATGCCCATAACAGCTGGGCCAGAACTGAAACCAGGAGCCATGAATGCCATCCATGTCTCCCATGGGTCTGGTAGGAAAGGAACCCAACTACTTGAGCCATGATGACTGCCTCCTAGGTGCTGCATTGGCAGGAAGCTGAAATCAGGAGCTAGAGCTGGGGATCAAACCCAGATTCTCTTATGGGATACAGGTATTTAACTAGTAGACTATATGTCCGTTCTCAGAGAAAGTATTCTTCAAATTATAATATTTGTTATGATCCCTCATATGTCTATAAAATATCACTAAAGCACTTTTAAACAACTGGCATTTTCTCTGCAATATTATATTCAGCTATAAGGTTGTAGGATCAGTGTATGTGTTGGTCAGTTTATAGTTTTAAAGACACGTCTCCTCAGGTCTACACAGTCTCTTTAAATTGTCAAAACATAATATATACTATAGGATTATGATGTCCTTACCAGAAGCTGAGCATATGCTAGTGCTACGCGCTAAGACTTCCCAGCCTTTAGAACTGTGAATCAGAATAAACCTCTCTTATTTATAAATCACCAGGCTCCAGTGTTCTGTTCCAGCAATAGAAAATGTATAGAGAAAAACTGCATCACAGAACCCTTTCTAAATTATTGTCCCACAAAAGTGTGGGCAAATTTAAATTGCTATTTATGCTATTAACTGTTAGGGTGGCTTGTTATCCAGCAAACAGTAACTACAACAGGTTACTTAGATGTTATCAAGATTCAGGATGAAAGCTCACATATGAAAAATGATTTGCAGTTAAAGATATGTTCATATTCTAAAATTACAGACTTGGCTTTATACATGGCTATAAACAAATTACTGGGATGAAAGCTTGACTTTTTTTAAAAATGATGACCATCTACTCCTATTTTATAGTATAATGTAAATGCTGAAGTCATGCATTAGATTAATTGTTAAATCAGTAAATATTTAACATGCTTATTTTTAGTCTAATGGAGAAAATCAACCATTTTCAGGTTTTGGGTGTTTTTTATTTGTTTGTTTTGTTTTTTGAGAAAGAAACAATAAGCAATGAAAAGATGGAGGCTCCTAGTTCAGTTTCTGGCCAATTCTGATCTTCCACATAATTAAGAACAATTATACAATTGAAAGTTTTCTAATACAACTTGCTATTGTATTAGGTTAGCTATAGTTTTCAGCATGGGAATAAAAGGGATAAGAAGTCTGTCCTGTAGATATTTGTATAGAAAATTTGGAGAAGGTGTTTGAACTATTCTAAATTTATCTGAGCAAATAAAAAGAACATTTTCCTAAATCAAAAATGCCAATATGCCGGTCTACTCATAAAATGGAAGTTTGTGATGAACTGGCTACATTACAGCAGAGAGATGTACCTACCGCAGTGAGCTTCATCAGACTTATCAGAGCAATCAGGCTTATAGTCACAGACAAGGTGGGATGCAATACACTTCTTGTCTTGGCACAAAAAATCAGTGGTTTCTGGGCAAATCTCAGACGTTTCTCCAACTAAGGAACAAACAAAAACAAAAGCAGTATTTAGTCAATATTTTTAATACACTTGAAGACTCTCCTTAGCTGCTGTATAGATTACACACTAATAAGTTCGTGATTTTAGCAGTCATCCAGGATAGACTTCTAAACCACTGTCTTTCTGTCCCACCTCAATTGCTCAGTATGTCATACAGATTCTGTATTTGAAATGGTTTTCATGACCCACAGGGTTACTGTTTTCTGTTACATAAATGCAAACTCCAGATCAAGGCATTAAAGAGAGCCTAGGTTTATGGTTCCAGGTTAATTTTCCAGTCCTATTTGCTGTGACTCCCCCCATAAGCGTCTGTGGTGAAATCATATTCCATGACTAGATGTGTCACACACAGACCGCTGGCTCCTCATGCTTCCACACGCTCACATATGATACTGCCTCTGGCTGCACTGACTCTTCTCTCTCATGCTCAGGGTGATCCACTGTTCACCTCACACTCAAGAAAACAACCTTTTCTTCACCCTGGTTTGCCCCAGGTTGGCCACTGTCTTGCATCTCCTAGGAACCATTTATTCCTACACTGGAATGCTGACATCTCATACAACATCTGTGTATGTGTCTTTCTGTTCCTCCAGACTCTAAGGCCCCTTGCAGTATCAGTTTCCATTCTGTTCATCCGTTCATTCTGTTCATTCAGCATCCCTTATGGGTGCTGATTTGAGTCCTGGCTGCTCCACTTCTGATCCACCTCTCTAATGGCCTGGGAATGCTGTGGAGCCTGGTCCAAATGCTTGGGCCCCTGCATCCACATGGGAGACTCAGAAGAAACTCCTGGCTCTGGCCTGGCCTAGCTGTCACTGCCAGTGGATAGAAGATCTCTCTCTCTCTCTCTCTCTCTCTCTCTCTGTCTCCTCCCCTAACTCTGACATTCAAATATATAATTCTTAACTAAAAATAAAATAAAGTGAGGCTAAAATAGATTACATATTGAAATGAAATTTATTTTCCTAACAATGAAGGATAGCAAAGACATGAGGAGAAATCAAGTTGGTGCTTTGAATTCCAGTAAATTGAGCAATGACTAGAATCTCTAGGTTAAATTTGCTGCGTCAAGAAAAAATAAGTATCTGGGGGGGCCTGCAGAGGGGCCCGCGGGGGCTTCCCCAGGGTGTGCGGACCAGCGTGGTGGAGGCCCTGGTCTCTGTGCAGAGGTGACCGTAGCGCCAGCACCAGCTCATTTGATGTAGTCATTGTCAGAGGTAGAATTGTGAGGCTTGCCTCTGCCAGAGCACTCATCCTGCGACATCCGGCACTTTCTATTGGTGTTGTGGAAAAGGAGAAAGACTTGGCTTATAGTAGCCATTAAACAAGAAATTCCCAGACTTCAGGCCCTGTATGAGAGAGGCCTGCAGAATGGTGTCCAGGGCCTGAGGCTGATCCAGCAGTAAGATATAAAGAAGAAGGAGCCATATTGCAGGGGTCTAGTGGCTGTAGATTGTCCATACACTGGCATTGTGGACTAACGGCAGGTTGCTTTGTCCTTTGCCCAGGATTTCCAACAAGCGGGTGGTTCTATCTTAACCAATTTTAAAGTAAATGATATTGAAATGGCTAAAGAAAGCCCTTCGAGAAGTAAAGATGGGATGAAATATCCAATTGTTATAAAGAATACAAAGGGAGAGGAAGTTCGGAGTCAGTATGTTGTGACGTATGCGGGGCTTTACTCAGACCGCATTTCCAAGTTGAGTGGCTGCAATCCTGATCCTCGAATTGTACCATTCCGGGGAGATTATCTGCTGCTGAAGCCAGAAAAATGCTATCTTGTAAAAGGGAACATTTATCCGATGCCAGATAGCCGGTTTCCTTTCCTAGGAGTCCACTTCACACCAAGGATGGACGGCAGCATTTGGCTAGGACCTAATGCAATTCTTGCCTTTAAATGGGAAGGTTATAGACCCTTTGATTTCAATGCCAGAAATGTTATGGATATAATTATCAATAGTGGCTTGTTTAAACTGGTGTTCCAGAATTTTTCCTACGGAGTTAGTGAAATGTATAAAGCCTGTTTTCCTGGTGAAACAGTGAAGCACCTTCAGAAGTTCATCCCTGAAATTACCATCGGTGACATCCTCAGAGGTCCTGCTGGAGTACGCGCCCAGGCCCTGGACAGAGACGGAAATCCGGTAGAAGATTTTGTATTTGATGGAGGAGTTGGGGGTATTGGAAATCGCATTCTTCATGTGAGAAATGCACTTTCCCCTGCTGCCACTTCTTCTCTTGCAATTTCTGAAATGATTGCAGATGAAGTGCAGCAAAGATTTGAATTATAAATCATGAAAGGAGCTAGGTATGCATTGTAATTGCACATCCGCAACAGTTGTGTACTGGTTGCATCCTTCCATTTTAATTTAAGAAAATGTTTTTAAGATAGCATTTTTAAGGCAGCGATAACTGCTGGATTGTTAAAATGATGTAACATATGAACATTTTTTTTTTAACTAAGATCCATGTTCTTTTACTTTGTGAATAAAGAGGCGTGATACAGCTGTATCTGTTCCGAATCCCTGGCTTTGCTAATACCCTGTCCTTAGCAACCATGAGTCGGAGAATATTTGGCTCTTGCAGAATTTGGGAGAATGATGTTATGAAAATCTGATTTTTTTTTCCCTTAAGTCAGTTTTTTAGTGTTGTAATACCTAAGCTTTTTAGTCTGTCCTAGATAAGAAAATATGATATAGCATAAGTTGTAAACATTCTCTTAAGCTTGAAGAGTCATAGAAGAGCTCACATTATTTAGAGCAACATTATTTGTATTTGAAATTAAAAACTCTTGATTTGGGGGTGGGCTTCTGGCCTCACGGTGAAGACTCCAGTCGAGGTGCCCATGTCCTGTGATGGAGTGCCTGGGTTCGATTCCCGACTCTGGCTCCCAGTTCTGGCTTCCTGCTGATATAGACCCTGGAGGCCCCCACCAATGGCTCCCATAATGAGGTCCCTGCCACCCACGTGGGCAACCTCCATTGTGTTCCTTGCTTCTGACTTTGGCCTGACCACACCACAGCTTTGGAAGGAATTAGATTCTACCTTAGCTCTCATTTGTGAGAAATAACTTGGCAGAACAAACTCAAAACCTTTGTGACACCTGGGCCCCTTATAGCTGATGTGGTGAGGGGTCTCCCTAGGGTCTCAGCAGTGGTCCGCCCTGCCAGACTGTTGCCTGCTCTTCAGTCTTCTGTGACTAAGAAACTAAAAGGACTTAGAACAGGTAGGATTTTACAAGAGCAGTTTAAGAATCTTAACCCTGATGTGTAGAACTGGAATTAAAATAATCTTTTTTCCTCTCTTATATATCCGTTCTTCGGCCACACGAGGGTTCTCAAGATGTTGGCCAGAATCGCTAATGAGTCACGCGTACGTGGTTTTTCAGGGCTTCTGTGAATTTTATGAGGTTACTTCTCCGCTTTGGGTTCACACCTTCACTTTGAGGCATTCACTTTTGTCAGCCGTGAAAGTGCCTTATGTCCACACGCACTTCATGAGTATCTCGAGTCGGTGCCCAGTGCTGTGTTGTATTCTGTGTGTTTGCGTATGGCTTCTCTGCTACAATGATGCTTACTGTTTTGGAAAGTTGGGGAATAGAAATGAGAACGGCGATGCAGCGACCTGACTGGGGAAGCCACGGTAACAGAGCCCTGTCCAGGGGGACGTTGCCGTCCGTTCTCTCACGTGGGCTCTCTCCTTTCCTTGTCTCGCTCTCTTTCTCCAAAGTTGTGTGATGACTCAGTGAGAAGGATGTGCATTTTGGTAGACAGGAAAAGCTTCTGTTTGCTGCCTTTTCCCTTCACTTCAAGACTTGATGATCACACTGAGCTACCTCATCCATTAATCTGCAAGGACATTCATCAGCTTATGTTCAAGAAGCAGCACTTCCCAGGTGCACAGAACAGGCAGTTACTACTCAACACTGGGGATGGACACCCTGAAAACACTCAAGTCACTCACAGAAGAAGCAGACCCTAGCGGTTCTTCATAATAAAACTCATTCTTACAAGAACTACAACACAGAGATTATTTGTTTTGTTCCATCACAAGACAACCAAGAAGTAGAGATTATTGTAATTCTATTTCATCAGCAGTAAAATTGCATACACATCATACTGTGAAGGACTGAAATTACAAAAATAACTGTTGTAATTGATGCAATCCTCATTCCCTGTGAGTCTGTGTTATATTCACAAGAAATACAAGTGGAAAATTTCTTGAAAATGTTTTGAATTATGTAGGTTATTATGTTTGTAAAACATTTGATATTTGTATCAATAGGGCTTTATTGTTTAATACTGAAAAGATATTTAAAAGTTTTGTGTATTTCTGAGAGGAAATGTATATTAATATTAAAAATATTTTAATGAGAAAAAAAGAAAAAATAAGTGAGGAGTCTAAAAATCTAAAAAAGTAGATCTTCTTTAACATACTAATATGGTAAATTAAAAAGGTAGATTGTTGTACTGTCATGTGTTTAGCTATTTTTTCTCTGTATATCTATTTTATTTTTATTTAATACTGTGCCTATTGTTTTTCCAGACTAGTCTTTTCTTTTTGTATCAGGGTTCCAATAGCAAGTGGTCCCCAAAGTACACATTACAATAATTTCTTTAAAAATTTCATTTAAGTTATTCAAGTTTTGAAAGAAGGGTTTTTGAAAGAATGGGTGGGAAGTATCACTATGTTCCTAAATCTGTATATATGAAATATACTTACAATAACTTTTGTGTTTCCTTTGAAGTTTTAATTGTTCCATAAATTCTAATGTTAGTGTTTTATTTTCAAGTTCTTGCTCCTACATCACATGCTGTACTATGAAGATGCTTCACAAATTAAGGATTTTGCTGGATTTTTTTTTTCATTTTTTTCCAAGTCCCTGAACAAGTGGCAAATTTCTTTAAAACTTCCCTGATGCAGAGCAACTTTTTAGTCATGGAAAGGATCAGACATTATGCAAAAATTCAAGTCTAGCTCT